TATGGAAAGCAAAACCACAGAAAAGGGAGCTCCGACTGCTGTCCTCAGAAATCTGAGCCAAAATGCTTTCCTATGCCTTCCACCTAGTAGATCTAGTTCTACCCTTTTGGAACCACAGGGAATATGCGTCTCCTCTATTTTATAATTCCCCCAGGCAGGTAGTTGAATCCACTATGAATTCCCCTTCCCATCAGCTGCTTTGCCTGTGTCTCCTATTTTCTTCTCCAGCATCACTAGGTCTGTCGTGCAGGCCTCACTCTGAGTCCTGCTCCTTCTGCACACTTGTCCGTTTGTTCCCAGTGCTGGCTTTACTCCTTGAGGCCCCCCTCTCTCTCTGGATTGAATCCAGGTCCTTTGTACTATGCTACATCCCTGGCCCGTTTTTTTTTGTTTGTTTGTTTTTTATTTTGAGAGAGAGTCCCCCCAAGTGACCAAGTTACCCAGGCTAGGCTCAGCCTCCCAGGGTGCTGTAATTACAAATGAGCACCCCCACACTTGGCTGTAGTTTAGCTTTTAAACACACTTTGGTGTGGCATCTCCCTGAAAGCTTCTCATTCATTCAGCATTTATTGCTATCATTGGACTTAATAGAAATTCAGCATTGAAAAAATGCAGTTTCCTGACCTTAAAAAGCTCGTGGCACAATAAGGAGACATAAAGAAAACCAGGTCATCATAGAAACAGGAGTATACATGGGGCAATGGGGACACAGAGGGAAATGGTGAGGAATCCAGGTGCCCAATCACAAAGTGTCAAAACAGGGTCTTGGAAGAGTAGGAATTCACTGGGAAGAGAAGGGGAAGGGTACAGGACACATATATGGCAGCATGGAAGCCTGGAGAAACACAGTGTGGGATGGATAGAGAGAGGGCTGCAGGAGAAGGGTAGACAGGGAAAGAGCTTAGGACCTTGTGCATAATAAGCGTTCACAGCACATTCAACCAAACTGAGCACAGCACCACACTGCATTCAACCCACAGGCGCCAAGCACAGAAGCCATTCAGTGAGCTCAAATCTGCAAGCCAAACAGGGTGAGAGGCTGTTTCAACTGATGCCTTTTACTTTGCATTTGGATGTGGGGTTAATGTGTAAATGAGCCCGGTTTTCCTCAGTAACAGCCTGGCCTGTGGGCTAAAGGAGCTTGACATGCAGGAGGGATTTTGCATATTTCAGAAAGGCTGGTGACTCTGTTTTTGAAATGCATGACTGATGCTCCCAACAGAAACCACAGATAAGGAGAGCAAGCTCTCTGGGTGCTCCCCACATTCTCCCCTAGGTCCTGAGTAAATTCCTACTCAGCCTAAGCAGTGCCCTGTGTTCTAAGCCTCTGTGTGTCCAAGGTTCTCCTTCCCTGCTGAGGCTCTGCCTGCCAGGGGACAGCACACAGCTAGCACTGACACTTCCTGGGGTTTTTCTCCCTTCTTTCCCTCCACAGATGCCCCATGCCTCAGGGCTCCATGTGGTCCCTAGCAGGGGTGTCCCGTGGTTGAAGTGGGGTGGGGTATGAGGAGGGTCCAGGGAACCGAGTTCCTGCATCTTTCCTTCCCCACACAGCCCTAGGAATACTGAAAGCTCCCAACTGCTGCCCAGCTTCTTGCTGGAAGTGAGTATCACTGGGACAGGGCTCAGAGCTTACCTATCTGGAGCACTGACCTCACCAAATTGGCAAAGCTGCGTGTCTTGACTTCACAGCCCTGACCACCAGACATTTATTCTCATTTCAGAGTGAGTTACTTCAATATCTGAGGCAACATGCATCGAAACTTCCATAGATACAAGCACTACAGAAAAACAGTGATCTCACATGGATCTTTGTCATACTTAAGTCAGAAGTAGCGTGCGAGGCTCTGTGAGATACTCAAAGAGAAATGAGAATGGTGTCTGCTCTTTTAGGCTCTAGCCGGGGAAACAAAACAAACATTAACACAGCCTGAGCTTTTGCTTTTCTGTGTTTATGACATCTGTGTTCTCTCCAGGTTCTTTGTGTGTCCTTTCACGCTGGTTCTTCTGAGCAAAACACAGCAGGAGTCTGAAGAACAGGAAATGGCAGAAACAGAGGATTTGTTGGGTCCAAAGCTACCCCCAGGTAACATCCCCACAACCCTTATGGAATAAATGGAAACTGATGTCTGCTCTTTGGGCAGGGCAAGTGCCTGAGATGAAGTTTAACTATGCCATCTTTCCATGTTCTTCAGTCAGATGTTGCTTCCTCAGGGCAATTTGTAACAGTGAATGACTATCAGTTATTTTGACAGTAGCTAAAGCAGACTATTCGTAGGGAAGTGAATTGTTTAACTAGAAATTAAGGTTGTGGGGTTCCTGCCAGTTTGTAAAAAGAAGGTTTGTGTTACATTGCCTCTCTGCGGTGAGAAACTGAAAGTGTAAATCAAAACTAAAAATGTATAATAGATATTGTGAAATAGAAAATATTCGAAAGGAAAGGGGAAGTAGGAAAGGGAAAGGGGGAAAGGAAGAGAAAAGAAAAGAAAGAAAAGAGTAAGAAAGACAAAATGGAAATGAAGCTTTGTAAATAAGGAGGCAAGAGGAGTTGAAGGGAGGGGAATGGAGGAAAAGAAGAACCAAGATATGCAATGCACAAGTACAGATTCCCTATGATGAATGTGATTATTATGTATATTTAAACGGTACCAATAAACAATTTTTAAAAAGGTCCCAAAAGATAAGTTTAGGCTCTCTGAGTGTAGCCTTTCCTACGGTGAAAAGGTGAGGCTCTCCTGGAATGCCTGGTGATTTAAGCTGCTCCTTGAAGGGTGCATTCCATTGGAGTTCATGTTGGTGACCTCCTCCCTCAGATGGCCAGTGGAGCCCAAAGTGACTGCCTTTTCTAGGAAGGTGGCAGGGAAGTAACCGTCATGCACAGAAAATGAGGGTATATCACATCCTTGATGTTTATGAAACTTAGGAAGAAAAGCTGCTTCTTTCCCACACCAGGAAAGGGAAGCAGTGCTTCCGGGTCAGGGGTTAACAGTAAGCCCCCGAAGTGTGGTTGCGACTACAAATGGAAAGAACCATAAGTTTGGGGTCCACTTAGCTGACCTTAGTGCCCAGGGATCATTTTTGCATAGAAGACCTGTGACCCTGGCAGTAGTCTGAATTAACAATCTGCATCCCAGACGAGGGTGCTGGGGATCGGTTTTCCAAAGTGACACTTTCTGGGGGCAAAAAGCCACAGCAGCTGTAGTTTGTACTTGGTCCGGCCTCTGTGCACCTTTATTGCTTTCCGTGTAGAATGCAGGAAAAGGCAGATGGGTACTGAGAAATTGAAGGGAAATAAGAGCTTTGAATCATGCTCAGGTCAGTACATTCCAGCTAATAGAAAAGTTTCATCAAACATGGTGTGAGTCAAACACGGAATGCTTTCTCTTTTCCAGATGGTTTTCCATTGTGGAAATGGAAGAGATTTAAATCTTCCTGTTTTATCTGACACCTTTGCTTTTGCTTTAGTTGAGAAATAAACTTCCAGTCTCTTATCAGACCAATTGCTGGTCTTTGTAAAGGAGATTGTCTGTTTTATACTTGTGGTTAGGAGCCAAGCGAACATTGTGTACACAGAAGAGTTCCTCAGTTACAAAGTGGCTGTCCTTTTACATTCTTTCCACAGACAGGTCCTGGAGACATCCTGCATTCAGAGATGCCTTTTGGAGCAGACGGGCGGGTTCAGCCTGCAGCTGGGGCTGAAGGAGCATGTTCTTTCTTCCTTCCTGCTTCTCCTCTCCAGCTCCAGCTCTGAGCCAGCAACCACTTGGTATTTAAAACTCTGGTGTAGTCATGAGACCGAGAGGGGAGATTGTTTCAGTTGAGCTCAGTCATGAAACGTGAAAGACTAAGACAGAGGGGTCGAAAGTTCAAACTCTGTCAACTGTCACAGGATAAGCTTGAGGTGCAGAGGTTCTGACTTTGGCAAATCTGTGTCTTCACACCGGATACTGTGCAAAATGTGAGCTGGCTCCAGGTTGCAGCAGAATGTGGAAGGTATACTGCTGGGCAGACGGGGAGGTGTACTGCTGGGCAGATGGGGAGCTGCCTGAACTCTCCAGGTGGCCAGCCTGCCTCTGGAGTGAGTGGCAAAGCCTGAGGTTCCTAGTCAGGCTTCCATCTTGGATCCCTAGTGTAATTCTGCAGGGAAGTTGACCAGCTCAGGTTATGTGCAGAATGGAGCCTCAGTGTCCTGTTTGTGTGAGCCTTGGGGGTCCTGTCTGTTGGGCATCAGCTCTTCCCATTTGCCTGTAGCCCCCCAAGAACTGGGTTAGGATGCTTTCCAAAGTCTCCACCCACTGACCTGGCTCTTGCCCATTTCTAATAGGGCAAACAAGACTGAGGGGTGGTTTCTAACTCCCATCCAGAGCACAGCACTTCGGTGACTCCCTTTCCTTAGGGTCATGGGCCCTCCCAGCCTTCCACTGCATGAGCCACCTGAGTGAATGGGTCTGTGCAGACCTCACATATATGCTGCTCATGGTTTCTATATGTGCCCTGTGAGGAAGCAGATGCTAATGTCTCTAGGTGAAGAAAGGGAAATTCCCCTCATTTCATCTCTGGAAGGCATCTATCTCATATTTTCTAATGCTTACATTTTTATCAGCTTTCTTGTTTTATAGATGAAGAAACAGAAGCTTAGGAGAAGGGGTTATTCATCCCAGTTTCATGGTCTGTCTTCCTCTGCATTTTTTCCTGTTTGCTTATTTTTTCGATACTGGGCCCTGAAACTCCACTGGGGCACTCTTCCACTGAACTATCCTCCCAGCCTTCTTTTATTTTGACACAGGGTCTCACTAAATTACCCAGGCTAGCCTCAAACTTGACATCCTCTTGCCCCAGCCTTCCAAGTAGCTGGGATTACAGGCATGCCTGGCTCGATTTCTGCTTCTTGTCAATTCTTTCTTCATGTGAAAGCTCTGGCTTTCTCCCATGATTGGCCCTGTTTGGGGATTTTTCTCTTCACAGTTGGTTGATTTTCTAAAACTTGGTATTTGGTGAGGAATGTCCAGCTGCGTTGGCTTCTGAGGGCTTCTAACTTTTCATCTGGGGAGATACGTTGGACTTTCTGTTTTAGAAACTGAATACAAAACGTCCCATGACTCTCAGAATAGGGGTGCAACTAGGATAACCCCATAGTGTTCTTTTTCCTATGGGCACATGGAACCCAGACCTCCAATTTTTTATAACTTCTGTTTATCCCTAGCTGCTGCTGCTGATCTGTTTAAAGAACCAATGAGGAAAAGACGCCGATCAGATCGAGAGCTGCGCTTCCAAGCCTTTCCCTCTGCAGAACAAAGCGCACTCAAGGAATGTGAGTGTCATGAAATAATTTGACAGCTTGTTTTAACCAGTTCTGTCTTTTCCAAATGTGTTAAAGTTCTCCAAGGAGGAGAAAGTTAAATTCCAAAGCTGGGTGAAACATCTTTAAACAAGCCAGTCCCTCTGCGTGCCTGAGTCTCTGCAGAGATGCAGAATTTGGCAGTCAGCTTGCAGACTGCTCTGTTTATCAAAATAAGCACTTCCTGATTAGAACAGAGATGTGAAAATGGTTAGTTTGGTGCTTTGGTGGGGGTTTATATGCCTTCCTTGCATTTTATGTGTGTGTCTTGTCTTCTGACGGCAGGAAGGGGAGAAGAATCCACAAGGGGCTGAATCACAGAGTGTGTGATGACTTCTGTTAGAGCCACGCAGCAGGCTGGCTCCTCAGAGGGCTCCGAACCAGCACTGCTGTCTCTAGTGAGACATTTTCTCCAGCATCAGATAACTTGCTCTTGAGTTTAATGAGCTTTTCATGTTATTTATCCTTTCCCCTCTCTGTGATATGCAGCAGACTCCTTCTTTAGGGACCAGGACTTGATCTTTTTTGGGTATACTCAGGTAATCCATTTCTATTGATTCCAGATGAAAAATTGGAGTCACGGACCAGAAGGGTTTTGAGCAACACCTATCAGAAACTAATTCAGTCTGTCTTCCTGGACGACAGCATTCCTAGCGGGGTCAAGTATCTCATGTGAGTCCGAAATAGTCTCAGATTGCACGTCAGTGTCTTTCCTTAGCTGACTGAGGTGCTTTCCCCTGACAGGGGGAAGGAATTTTTGTTTAGAAACTAAGCAAAGCAGCTCAAAGTGTCTGCAGCTATGGGCTGTTATCACTTACCAGTTTCTACCCATTGTGTTGTCACTGTCACCAAGTGACCTGCCACGTCCAGCTTCATTACAGCCTGTCCACACCCCCATAAGGTAGGAACTATTATGGTTATCTCACTTTATAGAAATTGAAGCTCAAAGAGGCTGAGACATTGAGCAGAGAGAGTCACACCATTGATAAGTGAAAGGGACCCTGGCCATGTGACCTCTGAGCCTACTGTCCCCAACATTGTGCTTGACTTGAGGGCTTGAGTGGTGCTGAGGTTACAGTTTCTCCTGCTCAGTAAGACTCTGAGTTGTCCCTAAAACTACTTTATCTCTGCAAAAGTTTGCTTAGAGCCAAAAGTTTGCAATTCCCACAGAACATAAACAAAGATGCTGTGAGTCTGTTTGAATAAAATATCTTCACTAAGTATTCTTGCATAGTCTCACTTGAACCTCCAGCCAGCTCTGCATATGAAACAGGGACGATGCTCCCCTTTGACTCAGGAGAGGAGCAAGGCAGATGTAGTGGCTTTCTGGGGTTTAGAACTCAGTTACTCTGCATTCTGTTCTGAATCATCATAACAATGTGCATTTAAAAATGAATACAGAAACAGACTTCTTGCCATGATTGAAAAGCCAACTTTGGAGCCAATCTACATTGGGTTCTTTGGAAGCACTGGTGCTGGAAAGAGTTCTCTGATCAACGCCCTCATCCAGCAAGCAATGTTTCTCCCAGTGTCTGGAGAGAGCATATGCACTTCTTGTGTTGTGCAAGTGAGCTCGGGCTGCAGTGAGCAGTATGAGGCCAAAATCCACCTTCTCTCGGACCAGGCAAGCGTTTCTTCCCTTCTCCCTCCCGATGCCCAGTCTTCCCTTTTTCCTTTCTGTCTCCCTCTTTTCCTTCTTCCTTCTCTCCCCCTTTTTTTTTTTTAAATTGGTACCAGGGATCGAACCCATGACCGCCTGCTTGCAAGGCAGGTGCTTATGCCGCTGAGCTAAATCCCCAGCCTCTCCTTTCTTTCTTGTTTCCTTTCTCCCTCTCTTCTAGAGATTAACACAATATTCCTTGTAAATCCAACTCACATCTTTGTTGAGTGAAAAGGAGCACCAGAATGATTAAGCTCAGTAGAGCGCGGTGGGTTCCAGTCAGGTCTTGTCCCAGCTCTCCGGGAGACTGTGTTGGGCCAGCCATCGCCCTCTCTGGGTCCTTGCCTCCTGGTCAACACAACAAGGGGTTAGAGGAGCTGATCATAGGTCTCCTGATGGGAAGCCCCCAAGCAGCCAGTGCTTTCATTCCTGTTTTCTCCATCTGGGTCACGAGGGGCATGGTCCTGCTCTTTCTTGGCAGGAGTGGAAGGAGGAACTGAAGAACCTGACTAAACTCCTGCACAGGACGGAGGAGGCTGGCGGAGAGGATGTGGGTGTGGAGATGTGGGACAGGGGTGAGGCCATGGAGGAGGCCATCTGGAAGTTGCAAATGGTCTATGGAACTGGGGCAGAAAGGAAGAGTTACGAGGACTTACTAAGGGCAAAGCCCAAGGGGAAGATTCCCAACTCAAGAATCATCACCCTCAAGGCGGAAGAGGTACCTGCAAGGTTTTATTCTCTTCATTTTATCATGAATCTCAAATGTAACAGTGGAGTCTATTTAGGGGAATAGCCTAAGGTACACTATTTTTTATTAGAAACCAATTGACACCCAAATGAAAATTATCCACAGTGCATATTATCTGCATTACTTATGGCTGTCAAATTGGATTGTTTAATGCCTGGGCTGCATAGTGAGTTCAAGGCCATCCTGAACGACATAGTGAGACCCCTATGCAAACACATAAACAAAGAAATACTGTCTGTTCTAAAACCTACTTTTTGTTTCTGAAAAATCGTCTTTAAAAAGTTGTCCTTCTATTCATAAATCCTGCAATTTTTGTATAAAATAAGAACAGTTGTTCACACTTGTCCTAAAATTTAATGTTCAATTTGCTCCAATCTCAAAGAAAGTCCTCTTTAAACATTTAATATCCCTAACATAACTAAATTTTCCTTTGACAGTTTGTATTATAAAGTTTAATGTATTTGATTCTTCCAGAGTATTTTAAATGCTCAAAAAATGCCTCAAAACCAAATGAATGAAACCTTTTCAAAGCACTCAGCTGTATCTTGAATGTCTAGAAAATAAATACAGTAGCTTTTTTTCCCCGGTTCTGAGGACTGAACACAGGGCCTTTGCTCTGAGCTAAACACCCGCCCTCACCGCTTCTTTCACACAGGTTCTTGCTGAGCTACTAACTTGCCCAGGCTGGACTTGAACCTTCAATCCTCCTGTCTCAGCATCCCAGAGTGCTGGGATTCCAGGCGTGTGCCACCACACTTGGCTTATAGGAGCTATTTCTTACATTTACATGGATATTACTATTAAAATGATTTTCATATTTTCAAAAACATAACACTGATCACTTCATCTTATTACTCACAATTTAGACAAAGATTTTGATAGCCCACTCATTTCATTGCCATTTGTGTATTGGGAAATTTTTTTTACCACTGTTAAAAACTTACCTATTAAAACAAGGGGAACAGAGTTATCACCTACAAATTTACATTTACCATTTATGAATTTGAGGTTTTTGTTAGGGTCTAGACTGAGTTGAGCCATTTGAATTCTCCTGCCATGTTGGTCTGCTCACAACCACAGTGCATTGGGCTGACCCATCTTCTTGTAGAAAGAAGCTTCTTTTTGGTGCTGGGGATTGAACTCACGTTCACTGTGCTTGCAAGGCAGCGCTTATGCTGCTGAGCTAAACCCCCAGCCCAGGAAGAAGCTTTTCAAGCCTGTGTGTTCCCTGCACACTTATCTTATCTTCTCTTTTGAACTGTGCTAAAGAGCCTATACTGCCTCTTCTTTCCCAATTTGCTCTTTTATTAGAATTGATGTCCTCCATGGCTGCATATGCTGATTGCACCAAACCCCCAACTTAACCTACACTCTTCAAAATTTACACTTTTTATTTCAGGATCATTCTACAGATATTTATTAACAATACCACCCTGAATCCCAAATCTTCTGTCCCCTGAAGTTTTCCCAGTTGTGATTCACTGCCATAGTGAATATGACACATGAATATGTCATTGTCCTTTTTAAAGCAGGAACAGGAGGCCAAGAGCAATTCTCTACCCCATGTACTGTCATTAAAATGTCCTGAGAAAGCCAAGAACCATATTTTGTGTGTGTGTGTGTGTGCTAGGAAGATAAGTTCTAAAAATATTTTAATTTTTGTTTTATTTTAAAAATATTTTCAAAGATCAATTTTGCAGTTAATTTTCACTTTGAAAGAGGCAGTGATTGTATGACTGTCCATATTTTTATAATCATGCTGGATTTCTGATAATTAAAATGTTCACATTTGCCATAGGGGAAGAATGTACTATCTACAAAATGGAGAGAAGTGCGTGTTAATCACATTCGTTTTAGAGTCCAGTGGAGTTGGAAGGTCCATTTATTATCCAGTGCTGTATGACTTCTCTGAAGTCCCCTTCCAGCTCATGTGGGTTTCTGGATCTGTAAGTTAAAGACCTTGAATTCCCAGGTCTGCAGCCTCTCCCCTGGCTTTCAGAGCCTTGGCCTTGGCAGATCCCAGGCCTCCTGACCCAATTTTCCAAGTGTTTGTCACCATCATTCAGCACACTTTCCATCACCCCCATCCCAGGCCACCTGGTATAAGTGAGCCAGGAGCACTGCTGGTACATGTGACTCTGTCCTTCCTTCTCAGGCAGGAGAGCTGTCTGTCAAGCTGGACCCCTACATCCGCACCCAGACGAGAGATGGGGATGGAGAGTCAGGCGAGACACGAATCTGGCCCTTGATCAAACACGTAGAAGTGACTCTGCCCAAATCTGCGCTGATTCCAGAAGGGGTCGTGCTGGTGGACATTCCGGGCACTGGTGACTTCAACAGTAAGAGAGATGAGATGTGGAAAAAGGTGATCCTCTTTCATGGACTTCATTCCTTCTCCCCTTGACTCTTACACCCTTTCTAAGCAACAGAGGCTGTTTTGCTGTCAGCCTATGGGATGTCACGAGTTCCTTGGAAACATATTCTGCTTTCCACGTTCTGAAATCATAGTGTGGATCTAGTGGCTGGAACAAGGATGTGTGATGTAACCAGGGCCAGCAAAGAAGAGGCCTGTGAGTAAGCAGACTAAGCAAACACAGAGTGGTACAGGCTGAGAACACTCAGGGTGCAAAACACAGCAGCCAGTCACTACAGAACCCAGAAGCTGTGGCCGTGTTGGTTGTAAAGAGCCCTTGCTGAGTGACAGACACCAAGCTAAAAGGGGCTTGTGGAAAGGGTACCGAAGGAGCTCCTGAGACACAGCCAGGCCACCCGTCAGGGTCAAAGAGCTGCCCCTCCTCTTCCTCTGCAGGTTTCTAGTGATTCTGCTTCCCTCTTCATGAATTTTGCCTCTGTCTTAGCTTAGCCATGTGAATCCACATGGCTAAAAGTGAGCACCATCTTAGCCCACTCTCTAAATGATCTTGCAGTTCATGGGCCTATTTAGCACAAATTCCCAAGAGGAGGAATCTGATAGATTCCCGACCAGCTGAATGGATTAATCGTCCTGCTGTTAGGCATCCATCTCTACCCTAATTTGCTATGGCTGAAGGTGATCCCCTAGATGATGGTCCATCCCTTCAGCCAGAAGAACGACGATGAGTTCACTTCCCAGCACCAGAATGGTCAGGCACCTGGGGATGTGAGCTGAAGAGGCTGTCCCAGATGTGTGGACAAGGAGTGAAGCATTATGGGGATTTAATCTGCACCTTATATGTAGATGGTGAGGCATCTCTAAAAATGTGTCTCTTTGTTCTTGATCGACCACATACAGTTTTCCATGTGCCAAGAATGCAAAGATTAGAGGCAGTAATGATAATGATAGCCACCATTTACTGAACTGTGCTCGATACCATGATAAGTGAAGTAAATTGCACCTTGTAACATTGAGAGCGTAGCCCTGTCAAGATGCTTCTGCTCTTAATGGCCATTATTAGCTTCCATGATAAAACTCTATGCAAAGTGGCTGAGAATACGCCAATCATGACTTCTTATTAAGAATCATATGCAGCCATCTCTTGGTGTCACTGAGAGATGTGCTGCAGGATACCTTATGGGTCCCAAAATTCTCAGATATTCAAATCTCTTGCATCAAATGGTGTACATTGTGCGTATAACCTACACATCTTCCTGTTCACTTGAAATCATCTCTAGATGACTAATTAAGATCTAATACAGCGCAAGTGCTATGTAAACAGTTGTGCTGTATTGTGTAGGGGATGAAGACAAGAAAATGCCATACTTAGGGTAGAAAAAGCTTGCTTTGTCTTGGTCAGCTGACTCAAGCCTGGCCATGGGAGCCTCATTATAAGCCAGGTTCCAGCTCTGGGAGGGGAACCACCCACCTTGGCTTGTTCCAGGCAGAGGCAGCCAGGGAGGCGGCCAGGCCCTCTTTCTGGATGAAGCCTGGTTACAGACAGTTCAGATATGCTGGGCAGCTCATCAAAGCCCACAGCTCTGGCTGGGAGCACACTCTGAGGAGGGCGGCTGGCGCAAGGGATGGTGCTTGGCCCCTGCTCCTGCATTCCTGTGGCTTTGTGACAGCCTCTCACAAGCGGTCACTGAAGACTGTCCCTTGCTCCCAGGGAGAGCCAAGCACAGTGACACCTATTGCTGGCCCCCCAACTCTGCATCCCTAAAAATGATAACCAATCAGACATCCTTGTTTGGCCACTTAGAAGTCCTGTGACTTTGCTGTCTTCTGTAACCCTTTCGAGGTCCCTTGTCATCCTGGGGAAGGCTGGGACTGAGGTGCCAGGTGCCAGCCCACCCACTCTGCGGTCCAATCAGTCGTGCTACTTTGTGACTTCCACCCACCTTAACTGTACCAACTCCTGTCACTCAGCTTTGTGTGGGGCGTGAAATTGACCCACTGCAACCTTAAGGATCACAGCCCTTTTCACATTAACATGTGTTTTATTAAGGTTTACCAAGACCCTGGGAAACACGGGGTGAGTGGCCCTGTCCCAGAGGAGCTGCCACCTGGTGCCCCTCAACCCTGCAGACCTGCTTGGACAGTTGCTGCCCCTGTGGACACTTTCTTTGAGTTGGTGCCCGTTTCTCTGAGTTGATTAGAATTTGAGAAATGGAAGGATGCCATTGTTCCTATTTTTTTTTTTGTCTTCTCATGAATTGAGGAGAGTCAGGCTCCCTAATTGGGTGACACTAAATAGTCCCTTTGCCTCTTGGGGCCTATTTTCTTCTCCATCATCCAAGGGTTTGTCTAGTGCATGAAACAAATGCTTTTTAGGCCTAGGTTCATGGGGCCAAAGGACTTGTGACTGAGGGTAGGGACATTGAGCACGTGGTAGCTCCAGATCTTCCATTCCAAATTCAACTAGGGCAGCTGTATGTTAAAAATTGAGTTTGTATGTTGTGGATTTTCCCTATGCATTTACATTGAGCTGAGTACTTACCAAGGGAAAGGATGCTGGGACTGCCTTGTTTTAAGGAAGGGAATCACGGGACATTTTAGGGACAGGGAGTATTTGATAGAGCCACAGTTGGGGAGTTAGAAAATCTGCTCTCCCAGTTCAAAAGCTGCTTGAAATTCACTACATGAATCAAGGCCTCTCAAACTCATGATGTTTGAGGCTGGATAATTCTTTGTTGTGCATGGCTTTTCTGGGTGCATAGGACAGATCGCTTTTATTCACAGCATCCCCAAATTGCAACAATTAGAAATATCTCCAGATATTGCCGGGTAGCCTCTGGGGCACAAAAATCTTTGTTAGTTAAAACTGCTGGCATGAAGCACAATAATGATTTAATTATCAAGTCACAGACTTGTGACACCTGTGTCTGCCAGATACAAATAAACAATCCCTGGTTTGGACCAGCTTTTTATTTATATAGACATAAGAGAAAACAACCCGAGAAGAAAAGCAACAGAGGGAAACACATGGTTACTTGATACACAAAAGTTGCATACTTAAGTAAAACAATATTTGTACTATTAATAAGTGGTGATTTCATGGTCATTGGCCTCTGCAAGTTGAATCACAGGGTTGTTTGGCTCCCTGCTGCCACATGGTGGCTGCATGCTCAACATGCAGGAAAAAAACATCAAAAGGATGCCAAACGCTGACAGTTCCGGGTATTGGACAACCAAAACCAGGTCTGCAGAAACAATTTATTTTCCCTAGAGGAAAACTGAGGTGAGCAAATGACAGATCAGGAGGGCTGATTCTGAGAATTCCAACAATCAGTTGCTCCAAAGACAGCTGCAAAGCTCTTGTGGGTCAAACACTGTGCTTGAGGTGCTGGATTTCAAGATGAGAGGTGCAGGCAGCCCTTTCCCTTAGGGGAAGAGAGCTGGCCCCGCACAGTAGCTCTGAGAGCCCTCATGGTAGTTAAGACTCAGGGGAGAGGCAATAAACACTGGAACTGAGTTCCATTGCCATTCTGACATCTGCTCTGACATTTTCTACAGACCATTGATAAGTGCTCAGTGATCTGGGTGATCAGCGACGTGGAGAGAGCTTCTGGGGGAAGAGCCCACGAAGACCTTGTGAATGAGAGCATCAAAGCCTGCCAGCGCGGCTTCTGCATGGACATTGCCCTGGTGGTCACCAAGACTGACAAACTCAACCTGCCAGAGTATCTCAGGTGTGGTGCTGGGCTCACAGGATGTGGGTCCCAGCCGCAACTTTCCTCTTGGACTTGATGTCACTTCATCCTCCAGGAAGTGACTGCTGGAGGTGAAAGGAAAGCCTGGGTCACCTCCTGGGTGTGGGTGGATGGTCTCCAGAATCTGAGCCACCTGACTCCCTTTCAGGTAGTTACTCAGTGCCAAGCCAGCTGTCCTTGACTCTAACATGTTTGATGTGCAGACGGTGTAGCCTGGCCCCCCTGGCCCATAGATGTGACAGTGTAGATGTCCCATCACTGGAACTCTATTCTATAGGACTATCTGGTCAGAACAGCTTTAAAATATAAGGTTCTAGTTCTGATTTGTCTACTGCAGAGATTCTTTTTACTTAGCTGAAAAAGATCCCCTAAATTTTAGAACTTTGGCCCAAAGTAAAACATTCTTTTAGAGTAACAGTCTAACAACTAATAATGATAGATAAGCACCAGAGAGCTTGGTGGATGTTAGCAAACTTTGGTTTCCAGGTAGATCTCTGCTACCCTTCAGTAACAAGAAAACTTAGCTTCCATGTTGGGACACCTTTGGGAGTGTGAAGGGAGCAGGTGTGAACTGGGCTGTGCAGGGCACACAAAGCATGCGGATATGACGGGCAACACTGCTGACATTTCTCTCCCAAGAGCCTCCGAGCCAGTCTCTTCCGCCACCTCCCTCTTCCCCAGGGAAACTCTAGTCTAATTGTGCAGTGTGGAATTCACACGCTCTCATGATCAGGGCTGGAATCTCAGTTTCTCTTTTTCCCTGCAGTTTCTCTTCACCCTACTTTCTGCCATGAGATAATACCTCAGACTCATCTGTTCTCCTGCCAACATGGATACTAAACATAATTAAATGATTTGATAAATGTTTATTGAATTGTGGTCAGAGCTGCAGATTGTCTGGTCTCTGAACTCCTGTTCTAAAAGAGGTTCAATGGTATAGGAGAGGGATGAGCAAAGTGCTGTGGAACCCGGAGTGAGAGGGCTGCTTTCTGAATGGGATGGAAAGGGAGGTCTCAGGAAATTTCAGGATGCAAACTCTGGCTCACTGGGGAGAAAGGAGGCATTTCCTTCACCCCCAAATGAACCCTGGAAGTGAATCGGTAAATGGGGTATGGAATCACAGAGAGCTCATATAAAGGCACAGAGACATGGTCTTTAGGAAAAATCAGACTGCTGGGCCATATAATAAAAGTGCAGTAATTGTGATATTTTTCTAATCTCATTTCAGGGAAAGAAAAGTGGGAACTGTAAGTATGGACTACTGATTTTTCAACAAAACTTTTTATGATCAATGCTACACAATACCAATGCACACATATTTGACAGTCTGGGTATCTTACTATTTCATCACTATTAATAACTTTAGTTTCTTTGCAAACTTTTTATTTTCTTTCACAATCTAGCGAGCTATTCAAAATCAGCGAGAGGCGGTTTTACAAAGAAATGAAACAATTAAGTTACAAAGGAGTAGAATTCTCAAGGAAAAGTTTAAGGTAAACTTACAAAATTTCTGATGCATTTTTTTTTCTTCTCAGCTTCCAAAGTTTGAGAAACAGATCTGTATTTAGCTTCATTAGCAAAAGCAGAAAAAGCTTAGGAGTGTATCATTTGGACTTAACATAGCCCTACTGCTTAGTACTGTTGTGACCTTAAGCAAGTTACATTGCCTGTCTGAGCCTCCACTCTCTCTTCTGTAAAATGGAAACCTGGTAATCTCTGCCTCTGTGATTGTGCTTGTTGGAAAGATTGAATGAGGATGTGGTCTCCTGGGAAAGGAGTCTGGGCGAATTAGAGATCACCGTGTGTTTCCCTACAGAATCACAGAGGTAGGAACACAGGAAAGATGGCCGAACCACACAAGCAGAGCAGAAGGTGGTATGGGGAATGGTTCAAGGAAACTTTCCAGTCTCTTAAATAGAATTGTAAGGAACCAGTAGTCTTTGGTAAGGTGAAGAAGTAGAGGAAGGGGCACTTGTGGTAAAGACAAGAACACGATTGAAGTAGGCTGCTGATTTAGTCACTTTCTCGTCACTGAGACAAATATCCGACACCCATTATTTAAAGAAGGGGAAGTTTATTTGACTCACAGTCTTGAGTGGGTTAAGTCCATGGTTGGCAAACCCCAAGGCAGAAATGCCATGGTAGAAAGGCCCAGGGGAAGACAGCCTCTCATCCTATTCCATATCAGCCAAGAAGGGACAGAGAGAGAGAGAGAGAGAGAGAGAGAGAGAGAGAGAGAGAGAGAGAGAGAGAGAGAGAGAAACAAACTGGGAACAATAATATATCCTTTCCAGTCACACCCCCAGTAATCTACCTCCCATGTACGTACAGCACATTCAGTTACTGAACTTAATGGATGATCCCCTGATGAGTATAGTGCCCTCATGATCTAACCCCCTTCTACACACATGAAGCTTTTGGAGGACACTTTAGACCTAAACTCTGTGCGAGGAGTTTTGAATGAATAGCTCAGGAAAATGTGTATGTAGCCCAGAGTGGGTGATCAGGTTTGAGCTGCATTTTCTGAGTGTGAGTAATCATTCCATGGGAATCGTAGTGTTCCCTTCAGTTATTTTTACTTTTTGTCACTAAAATAGTACAATTTAAAACTTCTTATTATAGTAGTCTCATGCAGCTCTATAATGAAAACCAACTTTAAGATGAAAAATGAGAGCACTAAAAATGATGTGTCTGGATGAGTATTATGTGATAGATGACCTAGTTTTGCCAAAACTAAATCTTTAGTCCTGGATTCCATGGTAAAAACATTTGGCCTGTGTCTTGTTCTGTATTCAGTGGTTTTCTGTACTTTGACTTCAACAATATTGATGCAGAAAATGTCTTTGCATTATGTACGTGGAATTGAACAATTCAAAGCTTTTTAAAAAAATTCAGTGTGACCAAGGCTCATATTTAAGTCAAGTCTCCTACTCAGCAATTGAATACTAGTTTCCTGGAGGTGGTAACTCAGTAGAGATGCTCATAATCTTTTGATCTTGTTGATATTAAAGAAATACATATTTCATAAGGACCTAATCAGATTATTTCTGAAATGGGAAACAAAATGCTTTAATGCACAATTCACAACTAGGTTTCTTGCTAATCAATGTGGCAAATCAATTTGAATGAGCAAATGTCTTGGCAGCAGGATATCAGCTTGTGGGGGTTATGGCAATTCCTACTGGGGTGCAAGTTCTTTTAAAGTCTACAAATCCATTCTTCCCTATATTGTTTGAGTGATTGTGAAAACTTCACTTGTAGTACATGCCTTCATTTGGAGCACATTCATTTTAACAAAATATGAGGAGGAAGTTTGTGGAGAGGTAGCCATTCATATAGTTAATGGCTGGTCATTCATATAGTTATTGGCCAGTATTTTTTAAAGTTATAAAATAAAAATTATGAAACACAGGAAAAGGGGGCTGGAGGGGAGGATAGCCAAGTGGCAGAATCTTTGCTTAGCCTGTGTGAGGTCCAGGGTTCCATTCCAATATGGAGCAAACAAACGACCACTAGGAAAACAGGGCCCTAGAGGACATGGGACAGAGGCCCAAGGAGGCAGGCAGTGGAAGGATATAAATGAAGTCCAGAAGGTGAGGGAGAAAGCTAAGAAGGAAGAGTGTGCAATCCTTTTAAAGCTAGCACAGAATCTTATAGGGGATTAAAAACTGCTTGCTGGTTTCAATCAGGAGACCCTGTCTGAGCATCCCTCAGGGTAAGGGCCAGATTTGAATCTGGGTTGTAGTGGGTTGTGCCAGCTCCTCATTCAAGAGGCTAACTTGTCAAGAGAAGAAGAGAGGGAAGGATGACCTCACACACCGTATTAGTCAGTTTTCTCATTGCTTAGACACAACAGCCAGCGCTAACAGCTTAAGGGAAAAGAGCTTTCGTTTGCTCACGGTTTCAGTCCACGATCAGCAGTCCCATGGCTAAGACATCATGGTTGAAGAGTTCAGTGCACCAGAGCATGGCCCCAGAAGTAGAGCAGGGGAACAATGCTAGGGCAGAGCGGGTGAAGGACCAGACAGAGACCCCAAGGCCTCACCTCCATGACCCACCCACACACACCTAGAAGTGAGCCCCACCAGCCCCCTGGGCAGATCCCGAAGCCAAGCAAGTTAAAATTCTGCCTTGGCTATTGCATGTGCACACACACCCACACACACACAACTTATTCTAGGCACGTTTCCCTGCCTGCTATTCGCAGCAGCTCTTGCTCTGAATGCAGAGGGAAGGAGCTGAGAGTGAACGTTATTAGGATTTCTGTTCTTATCCTTCCTCCAAGGCTTTGAAGCCTCACCACGCCTTTGTCCATTTGGGCTGTTAGAACAAAAGCACCCTGGAGGAGGTGACTTGTAAATCACAGACATTTCTCATAGCTCTAGAGGTTGGAAGTCCAAGATCAAGGGGCTGGCACATTTGGTGTCTGGCAAATGCCCACTTCCTGACTCATACAGTGATGCTCATCTTCACATGGTGGAAAGGGAGGGGGTGCTTTTTTTTAAGGGCACTAATCCCACTAGGAAAGGCCCCACCCTTATGACTTCACAGGGTCCCACTGCCTAAAATCATCACCTTGGAGGTTAGGATTTTAATATACAGTCTTTCGGAGGGCACAAATATGCAGTTCATAGCTTTCTGAATGATTTGTTTCATTTTTACCAAGCAAGCGTACTTTCCTGAAAAACAATTTGATGGGGGACATTATTTTGCTAGGGAAAAACAACACTAGCATATTTTTTAAAATGAAGAATGTAGGATTTAACAATGTCTTTTTGGCATTCCCCTTTTCCCCAAAGCTCTGGAATTTTCTTAATCTTCAGATTAGGCTAGAACTGCTCTTAGCTTTATCATCTGGAATTTTTAGTGATACCAAGGGAAATCATCAAGACAGCATTTTGTAACATGTGCTGAGAGCGAGGCAGAGGCCAGTGCCGGCGGCCCTGTAGCACGTGCCCTGCCCTTTGCTGGCTTGTGGCCAGCTCTGGGAGGATTCTATGCTCACAGTGGACTCCTGGTCCCAGAGTACAGCAAGTGCTGGCATCTGGACCAGCTTGCTGTAGGGAAATCACTGGAACAGGGTGCCTGAGCATTATCAGTGTCCCGCAGACTCGTCCAATTATACCCACTCGAGGTGCAAATCAGCTACTCCCTGGTTCATCCAGCTCACTTGACTATGAAAATTACGGATGACTGTGCACATACAAGGCCTTGTCTGATTGAAATCATTTCTATTTAAACTGTCAGAGGGAATCAGGAGTCATGGAACTCAATTTATAAGTCTTATTTACAACTCTAGAAATTTTTATGCTAAAACCTTAGCGTATAGAGTTGATGGATTTGATTCCTTCATAAAATTGTACCATTTTAAGTTCAATTATATTTCTTGTAGACATTTTAAACTATAGTCATGACCTTTGGCCCTACAAATACCTGTAAAAGTAAATGTAACATACTCTGATTATCGTGCTTGAAAATCATTTCTGAAGCTCAATATAAAATAATTTATACAATGGATTTGGTTCTTCTCATTATAACCTTTATAATTATTTTATACCTTTAAGGCTGCAAGTATCTTCCCTTCTCCCTGGAAAGTAAATGTTTCATATTTCTAAAACTCTAAGCTATCTTTAATTCTAAGGTATACCATTATTTTATATTTCTCTAAAAAAGAAAAAAATCCCGCCAATTAAATTATGGCATAATGTTTTCTTATTACTTAGAGTTTTTATTTTGTAATATTAGAAGAGTTGTATTAGATTAGGGGGGTTATAAATCACATACACTTGTGCATTAAAAATAATGAAAATATAGTAAAATATATTGGATAAAGTATTTCTGCAATTGTTTTTCTATTCAGAGTACAACTTAAATAGATCACATTTTTGTTTTTGTTTTTGTGATGCTGTAGATTGAGCATAGTAGGGTTTAGCTGGGCTCTACATCTCCAGTTTTTTTATTATTATTATTATTATTTTTTTTTTTTTGAGACAAGGTCTTGCTAATTCGGTAAATTGTTCAAGTTGGACTCCAATTTGTGGTCCTATTCTTTCACCTTTCCAGAGACCGGGAATATGGGAGCTGGCCATCCCACCTGACTTAACACGTGTAAGCGAGTGTTCAATTCTTTTCTATAAGTGTTCTATACTTTCAAGAGTACTGCAAATGCAACATTTCTTGTGAGAGCACTCTGCCATTGTTTTGGGAGTTTCTTCTAAGTCACAGACTGCATTGAGCTAGTTTTGATCTCAGGACCTTTCTGGCAGGGGTAAGATAAGCAGTCATTTTGTACCCATATCAAAGTGTCAAAACCTTGCCCAATTTCATTTACACATGGCGGTTTCTCTTTCCGATTCCCAGGAGGACCTTGATGTTGCTTTTTGAGTGAAAACCTGGAACTATTGTCCATTCCATGAACCATGTTTTTAATTAATGTCAAATGTGTACCTTGATTTTCTCCTTGCAGGTCTGTCATGTGAACAGTGACTTTTCCTTTTCAATGCTGAAATGTGCTGAAATCTTCTTAAATGGAAACTAAAGGGAATGTACATAGCCCCTCAGAGGACATCAGTGACCAAAGTCACTCACATGCATTGCTAGAGCTATTGTAAAAAATGCTGTGTGGGTTAGAATAGAAGTTTTTCTGATTTGGAAGGCAAATATTCAAAGTCAGGGTGCTAGCAAGGCTCTGTACTGTCTGATGGTACCAGGGAAGAATCTGCCACAGGGGTCGCTCTAGCTTCTGATGGCAGCATGAATGTAGCTGTCACATGGCATTCTTTCTCTGTGTGTCTCTGTATACAATTAGCCTCTTGTTATAGGGACACCAGTCATGTTGGATTTGGGGCTCACCTGATAGGACCTCATCTTAATTTCGTGTGCAATGACCCAATTTCTCTATAAGGTCACATTCTGAGGTACTAAGGGTTAGGACCTTAACATAGGAGCATGGCGTGCAGTTTTACCCATAACCTGAGGATTTCTGGTCTGCTACACAGGCATCGATGTTCCACCCTTGCCTACCTGTGCTCACCACTTGCAGGAGGTTTGGCTTCTCAGCAGTCACAGAGCACACAGCAAAGGCAGGGCCCCACTCACTTGCTCTTTTATATCAGAAAAAGATCAACAACTCTACTTCTGTCTCCCCCAAATTCATTCTCTCTCTCTCTCTCTCTCTCTCTCTCTCTCTCTCTCTCTCTCTCTCTCTCTCTCATCTTTTCCTTTGAGTGAGAAGAATGAAGAGTTATGGAACAGTATTTATGTATGATTCTAGCGTGACTTCTCAGTGATGATATTCTTCTAATCATGGAGAAAGGGTTTCTCACATATTTCTGAATTTCTTGACATTTAAAACCATCACTGCATTAAAATGTACATGATAACTCATTAGCCATCTGGGTAAGAAACTTTTACTTTTTAAAGACCTTACTTCAATGTTGTTGTGCAGGTAGTGTTTAAAAATCCAATCTGTATGTAACAAATAATTTTAAAAACCTCCAGTGGGTACCATTTGCCAGTTCCTGTGATATAGACACTCCTACCTTTGCCTATTTCAAGCTAAAATGTGATGTCATTGAAGTGGGGTTGCAAAGCCACGTGGCAGCGAGCTGCTGGTGGATTTCTGTCTTCAGAATGCTTCTGCTTTTGCCAGAAATGTGCTGCTGCCTGTTTGTTTCTTCAATCAGTTTTGGGGCTTGAACCCAGGCCCTCACCTATGCTACACATGTGCTCTTCCCCTGAGCTACGCCCCGGCCCCATTTCGGCCACGCTTCTGTGTCCATACAAGGATCCTAGTACCTTCTTGTGCTGAACATTGACATATACTTCTGAACTATTGTCTCTGTACATTTCTTTCTAGAATTGATATTTTTAATTTCAAAGAGACTAGCTTTTTGTGAACCAATTTCCTCACAATTCATCTTACTAGCTGGGTGTGGTGGCACATGCCTGTGATTTCAGCACTCAGAGACTGAGACAAGAGGGTCTGGTGGGGGTTGAGCCCAGCCTGAACCACATAGCAAGATGGTCTCAAAGAAAACTAAACCAAATCAAAACAAAATGAAAGAAAATAAAACAAAAACTGACTTTACTAAGAGTAGAGAGATAGTAATACTGGACGTTTAGAATTATGTTCTTTCCAGGGTGCCTGGAGAACTGAAAGTGGATGGGCTTGAATTTGCCAAGGTTCTCGCAAGGTGTATGTGGTGTTTGCTTTGCCTGGCTCACCTGCTCTCTTCTGATGTGTCCCTTTTACTTCAGAGAAAACTGCCTGCTGACTCTAAGGTTCTGGAAGCCTCTGACCTGGTGTACACGGTCAGCGCCCACGAGTACTGGCAGCAGGCTCACCTGACTGAGGAGGAAACCGGTAATTTATGTTTTTACCTCAGTCACTAACATTGCCAGCTCTGAGCCTGGCACTCTCGGTCGCCTGCTGCGGAACTAACCCCTGCCCCAGTCTGTCACAGGTTCTGTACTTGTTGCAAACCCATATACAAGGCATGGTCCAAAACTATGGTGACCATGGCTGCTCATAAAAACACGACAGGGTGTCTCATCCTCCTCGTTCACCGGATGTGGCACTGTGTGATTTTCGGCTCTTCTTTGAAGCCAAAAGAACCATAAGAGGGAGACATTTTACATCAGTTCAGGATATCAAGCAGCCACAACAGCACAAATAAAGACAGTCACAAAAGAGGATTCCAGAACTGCTTCCAGAAGGGTCAGGAATGGTGGGATAAGTGTATTAGAAATGATGCTTAGGGTGATTCATGGCAATATGTCTTTTACTGTAATAATTTTTAAAATATCATATTTAAAAATCACATATATAATGCATACTATATGTTGTATAACACATTATATTACATATTATATGTTATATAATATATTATATATATTATAATATATATAATATATATTATACATGTTATATATTATATGTGTTTTTTCTCCCTGCAATCTTGGGGTGCTTGGGACCACAATTCGCCTCTATTCATCTTTCCTCCAAATCTTACCATGGGTTGGCAAAGGTCAGGGACCAGGTTGTAATGTCCTTAGCATGTACCTGGAGATTCTTCTCCCATTCAGCTATAGGACATCGGATGTAATTTCTAAGGGTCTTACATGCTTTGTCTTTGAGGCAGGAAAAGTACTGTTTTCTTCATAGAACTTAAAGTCTCGATGAGGAGCTAACACTAACCTGTGTGCAAAGATTAAAGGAGAAGCCAGGCATAGTAAGATGGTGCTGGCTCTGAGTACCCTGGGAGGCTCTGGGGATCCAAGCTTCCCTCCGATCTGAGCCTGAGGTGGCTTACAGTGCCCACGCAGTATACTGGATGCAAAGATGCTTGTGAATGGAACTTAAGCAGTGGAAGCTGTCACATGGTCCCAAAATTAGGGGAACTGCTGGAACAAGGGTGTCAGAGGCAAAATTAGTATGATATGCACAGGAATAATACTTTCAAAGCCTGCCGTGCATGGGAAGAATGGGAAAAGCATAGGTGGCATCTATCACCGACTCTAATACAGCTTAGCACAAAGGCAGGTTCTGATCTATGCGGATGCTGAGAGCTACTTTGCGTAGATAGAAATGTCAAGGGAGGCCGAAGAGCTGGGACTGAAAATAAGCACCTTTGCTTAAACTCTGCACTGTGGACCAATCCAAAGGAAAGTGATTTTTTTTTTCCTTCTAAAGTCCGTACTTTTCTATGAATTTTGTTTTGGGCAGTTAAATAAAATTACTATCCAGCTGATCTGCCATTCATTGCTATTGATCTTAGATATGAAGAAAGTGTCCCTCAGAAGGTCAGTTTAATGGGCAGCAGGCCCCTCAGCTTCAGTGCATCCAGACCACAGAGCAGATATTTCCACTTTAGGAATTCTATTAGTTACAAACTCCTGGCTTTTACAATTGTTTGCCTTGCCCGTGAATTCCAGAAATCCCGAAGTTGAGAGAGTACATCAGAAAAAGGCTCTTGGACAAGAAGAGGAAGGTGGTGACCAAGTACGTGACGGAAGCCTTTGGCCTGTTGCTCCTCACAGCCAGCTTTAACTCCGCGGAAAACCTGCCGGTAATGAAGACACTGGGCTGCCCAGTCTCTCCAGCCCCGCCCGGGCAGGCCATCCCTTTTACCGTATCAGAAAATTAACATGTGCCATTTTTGTCCTTTTCCTATCAAAGGATGAGACAAATCTCTGAGACAGTAAGAGGGCAGAAAGATGATGAAGGGGTTAAAACCATAACATCTGCATAAAAGAGTTATTTTATTTTATAAAATGAAACTTTAAAATATTTTGCCAGAACTGATGGGCCAAGAGGAAAGTGCAAAACTTAGAGGCCACTTTCCACCTCTCCCGAGAGCTGGGCAGGGCAGAATGTATTTACATGACGGTTTATGTGCAGTGGGGTACGGATGGCTCGGGGTTTTCTTGGAGCAGTGTGTTTACACCTGTGCTCCAAAAACATTTTGTCTGTCCATGGCTTTCCCTCCAGGTCTCAATCTCAGAGTGACAGCATAATAAAATAATGTGAGCAGGAGGACACTGATCCCAAAAGGTTTTAATATTTGTCTTCAGTGTCTAGAATGTAGGTCTTTCCCATAACCAGCTAAAATGACATTTCTCATGGGAATGGACAGATTTATCTCTTTGATGGATGACTTAAAAAAAAAACTAATAGAAGAGAGATAACCTGCTGAATAGAAGCTTGGGAGGGTTATGGAAAAAATCAGTCCCTTTGATCAATCCCTAACTGCTTTGTTTATAAGAGAAAATACACAGACAATAACCAGACTGTATATAAAAACAGAATTTTGGTCCACAAACCTACCCAACCTGCCCAGCAGATCAACCCCTTACCTCTAATATCCCACCCAGGAGGCCGAGTCAGACTTGCAGGACCTCAGACTATCCAGGTCTGGTGGTAATCCAGGAAGCCACACCATGACTTCTGTGGCAGTCAACTCCAAATGACCAGTTTTGGATGAATAGCTTTCCTGATCTTTGTGCCTGCTTCTTGCTTAAAACCAGCCAAGAGGCTGGGGATTTAGCTCAGCGGCATAAGCACCTGCCTTGCAAGCAGGCGGTCGTGAGTTTGATCCCTGGTACCAATAAAAAGATAAAAAGATAAAAAAAAAAACCAGCCAAGAAAGCCAAAGCTGTCCTCCCAGCAATCAGACAAGATGCCCCACTTGCAGGTCACTTGTTCTGGCCAACAGTCCCCACTCAGGACACCTGGTGCCTTCCTTTTTTCCATTCTAAAGCTCTCTCACTTCTCCACCTGTCTTTGAGTCTCTGCTAGGTGTACTTTCTCTTCCCCACCACCACGGCAAACTAAGCAACCCCCTTTGCTGGCGTCAGTTGGCTGATCTTTGTTTATTTCATCCAGTAGAGCTGCATAGTCAAGCTGTCTGACTCTGTGTTGGGAAAGGGGAGGGCAGAGAAAGTTCAGCCACAGGCTCTGTGGGAGGTCAAGGGCCTGGTCCCAGAATGGGGACCGTGAGCTGGGAGGAGCCAGAGGGAGACAAGGAGAGGCAGATTCTGCAGATCTGACTTCCACGTGAAAGGAAGCAGTGTTGGTTGGACCAACTTTGCGTTTGGCCAAATGCCTACATTGAAAACCTCTGTCTAAATGTGGCATAGAAAAAGTCACCATCTTTTCCCTCGTATGCCTTGTTATGATCTAGTTGTGTGAAACAAAACCAAAATGAAACGCCTGGAATCTGAGCTTTGTGATTTGACTTTTGTCCTCTGAAATAGTTGGGGAGAGGTTTGACCTTTTAACTTCCTGAAAAAGTTCTTTGGGGTGAAATTTGCCTCTCTGCCCAACACAAGATTGCTTTTGGAAGCGCCGATGGAAAATAAGTTAGGTGTGGGCTGTGTGGTTGGTGGGTTTCACAAACCCAAGGACGAGGCATTTTGCAATCAAAGCAGGAGGTGCTCTTCTTGCTTCCTGGAAATGCACAGGTGCCTGGGGGCTCAGTCCCATCCCAACACCCAGGGCCAGGCCATGGGACACACAGAGAAGGATGCTAATTGGCATCTCTTGGAGGGACTCCTGAGGGAGTTGCCAGCAGCTTTCCTCAAAATTCCTTGGCCTGAGTTATGCATCTTAGCTCTTTTGATGGAAAGTTGGAAGACAGGAGTCTTTGAACTCTGAAAAATCAAACTTAAAAATGTATATGATTGATCCTTTTTTCAAGATTGTAATGAAAACCAAAACTTGAGGGTTTGAATCTTAAAATAGTCATTACTTTTAGAATCAATAGGAAGTTGATTATGGCATCTCAATGTCAACTGAGCCCTGCGTTTCCTCTTACTGAGTGCTGGCCTCCACCCCCTTTCTGTGGTGCTGGGAATTGAACCCAGGACCTCTGCCTTGAGCTATATCCATAGCACTTTTTATTTTGAGACAGGCTCTTGCTAAATTGTCCAGGCTGGCCTCAAACTTTTGATGGATTCTCCTGCCTCAGCCTGCCAGAGTGTGATCACAGGTGTGCGCCTCCACACCAGGCTGGCTTTCCCCCTCTTATTATTCTTTTATACTCAGCTCCTCCTCTGTTACCATCCTTTTCTTTTTTCAATAGGGGTTTACAGAGAGAGACCCAGGAGAGTCTTTCCTGTTAATCACTTTTTTTCTTCATGTTGGTCACCAGTGACACCATAAATCCAAAAGAACCAAACAAGAATTCAGGGGGGAAATATGGCTCACAAAATTCTTATTGGAAGAAAACTAGAAAACCCCCCACAGTGTGCCAGAAGCAAAATCCGGGGACTTGTAGAATGGCAGAGGTCAAGGTTTTGTCGGCTTCCTTCAGCCCAGGTTTAATGATGACGCAGCGGAGAAGCAGAGCAGGTCAGCCGCCATCTGAGGCTGCACACCGGCTCCAGAGCTCTTCCTGTCTGTTTGGAATGGCTTTAAATGCCAGTGTGGTCTAGCAGTTTCTCACCCTTGCGTGCCATGCACGCATGTCCATGCCCTTGCCCTGCACTGGGCCCTGAGATAATCTGAACGCCTGTTTGCCCCTTCTGCAAGGCCCTCATCCAGGGAAGGAGACAGGTAGAGTGGGTGTGACTTGTCAAAGGGATGGACGGGCTCTCTGGGGAGTCAGGAAAGCAGTGACTTTGGAGCTCTGCCTTGAAGGGCTGGAAGCAGGAACCACAGTTCAGAGGTACAGGGGCACCTAGGGACAGCAGCAAGTGCAGGGACAGCCACCTGGGAGGACTTGCAGGGCCCACAGAGCAACAGTGGCCCAGGAGGGGCTACTTGAGGGCTCTGTGGAGTCCCCCAAGGTTATCCCAGCCCTATACGATTGCTACCTGGAAGCAAAGGGCCAACATTGTTCTTGGTGGTTACTTTTTCGCACTTTTTGTGCACTGCTTAAGGACAGGGACATGTTCCAAGAAATGCACACTTGGCTGGTGTCATGATCGTATGAGAACCTCAGTGGTGCAGCCTGTTACACACCCGCCTGGGCACTCACATCTTACCACTGCCTTGTTGCCAGCCATTGCTGCTTGAAACACTGCTGGTGATTCGTGCCTGTATTTTTCTCCCTGATTCCTAAGTGAAGAAAAGATCAGGGCCTTATTTTTGTGGTCTGTGGCTTTGCTGGTCCAAGTGTGGTCAAGGCGCAGGAGCTCACCTCACCTGGGGAGCTGCCAGAAGTGTAGAATCCACACTCCCTGGATTCTAAGTTCCCCAGGTGATTCATTAAAGTCTGAGAAGTATTATCCTCAAAAGCTGCTTTATGTGCAGTCAAAGCACCTTAAATGTTTGTCTGCTCAGATGTCCTTGGAGAATTCTGTCAGACAGTTACTTCCCCACCTAAGCTAGTGGAATTTACACCCAAAGAAATGGCAGTGGGCATCTCTTGTGCTATCTTTAAGTCCCCTAAAACCTAAGGAGATTGCTTCATGGAGGGCCACATTATGGGGACAATGAGGAGAAGACTAAGTAGGTGACAACCTTGAGCCAAGGCTTGTGTTGGTGACAAGTAGAAAAGAGGCAGAAATTGAGGAGCAGGCATCTTTGGGGAAAGCCCAGCCTGATGTTCTTCCGGCCCTTGTCCCTAGAACGAACACTTGCACTTGAGCAGCCTGCGGAGATTCGTGGAGGAGAAGACGGCGCTGCTGGAGAGGGCCATGGAGCAGTGCTTTGCACTTGTGGAGCGGCCTCTGCAGGAAGGAGTCCTGGTGGCCAGGGCTTCCTATCGACGCCTCCTTGGGGCGTGCCTTGTGGTGAGTGACCCTCAGCCAGACCCCCAAGCTCCTGTTTTACTCTCTTGTTGCTTCTTATGAGGTTGTTAAAAGCACAGGTGGGAGGTGTTCACCGGTGCACCTTGGGGGCCAGAACAAGGGTGAGACAGAGCTGGGATTTAGGGTCCCAGGGAAATCACCAGCCCCAAATGGCCACTGCAGAGCCTTGAGCCACGCACTGAACCACCTGAGGCCTTAAGCCCACTGAAACCTCTTGGTTTTCTGTTCCATAGAATGGGTGCTAAGTACGTACGCCACAGATCCTGTAGCATTAACTTTGATGTGATTAGTATACACATGATAAAAGCATACCCTTGGTGTACAAATTATTTTATTTCTTAATCAGTCATATGGGATTTTTGAGAGAAGCAAATGTAAATGAATTAATCTAAGACAAAGAGAAGAGAAAAGAGTTTCCAGAGACTTAAATGAGGCTTAAATGACTGACTTTTACTTTTTCAGTTTTGGGGATGGAAGGCAAGAGCACACATCCACAGGGATGGTTTCTCCTGTGACCTCAATCCTTGGCTTGCAGGTGACAGCCTTTTCTCTCATGTGTGTACACTCTCCTCTCCCTATGAGGACCCCAATCCTAGCGAATCACGGCCCACCTTTGTGACCTCACATAATCCTAATTATTTCCCAGATGTCCCATGTCCAATATAGGCACCTTTGGGGTTAGGACTTCAACATATAAACTTTGGGGGATAGAAGTCAACCTCTAATGCCCACGGAAAGCAAGGAGTGCTGGACAGTGTCATCCACTCTGGTGTGGACGCTGTACCTGACTTTATTTAATCCTCACAACAACGCTGGATGGCAACCCCTGTATTATTATTTAGAAAGGCCAATTGCCAGGGAAAGGTTGGTGGCGTTTGGTAGGCAGAGGAATGGGTCGCATTCTGACAACAACACATAGCTGGGAGCCGCAGGGGGCTTAACCTGTCACTTGAATTTTTTTCCCAAAAAGAAAACCAAGGCAGGAAGGTTTGTTAAGAAGGATGTCATCAGATGCTCCCAAGGGATCAAGGAAAATGACTGGGCTTGGCCATTGAAGGTGTGCGTCAGTGACAGTGGTGGGCAGCCTCCTAGATGACCTGTCTCCCCCTCAGTGTCCTCACCTCCTGGGTCTTGCCTGTGGGTTTTCCTTCTGCATGGTCTCCAGGAGAGCGCTGCAGAGTGGGCAGTGTGTGGCTTCTGAGCTATGTCACCACAGGCCACTGAAGCCTCCACCGTGATCCTTTGGGACACTTGCTCAGGGTAGGTCAGGCTCCGTGTGCTGAAGTCAAGCTGGGGAGCTGCTGGGGAGCTGCTGGCTGTGTGAAGAGGGGCTGGGTCATCCCACGTGGGTGCAAAGCCAGCCCTGCCTTGCCAGCCATGATTATGGGGAGCAGATCCTCCAGCCCCATTCAGATGATGGGAAGCCCAGCCACATTGGCTGAACCTCATGAGGTGCCCCAGGCCAGCCAAGCCACCCCTAAATTGCAGGCCAAGGAATCTGAGGGTTATAAACCTTCACTGTTGTTTTAAGTCACTGTATCACTACACATGGGTGAATTTGTTTTGTAGTGACAGCAAAGTGAGCCCTTCTTCCTATGGTAGAAGAACCAGACCACAGTAGTGAAAGGCTGCAGGTGTGTGGAGAAGACAAAGGCAGAGACGAGATGCCCCTTGGGGCTGTTTGCTTTTGGAAGGAAGGAATCTCAGCTACCCGCAGACCCCTACTACAGCTGTCCCCTCTCCCACCCACTCTTTTATTCCCTCTGTGACTACAGCATGTGTAAGGTGCTCCTATCTCATAAACAACATTTCCTTTGTGATCAGAAAGATGAGCAGACATTTATATACTAACATCATCTCTTAACTGTTTTAGCTACTTCTCTGTCGCTGAGACATAATACCAGGTGCTTATGATTCTAAGGAGGAAAGATTTATTTTAACTTACAATTTGCAGAGATTTTAGATCACAGTCAGCTGACTCCAAGGCAGGGTGGAAGTGCAGAAGAGAAACAGCTCGTGGCCTGGCATCTGGAAGCAGAGAGATCAAGGGAAGAGGGTGGGAGATAAACCCTTCCGGGCCACACTCGCAGTGACCCACCTCATCCAGCTCAGCTTTGACTCCCATCATTTACCTATAAACTCAAAAGTGGACTGATCCACTGCCAAGTATCACAACCCCATGATCCAATCAGCTCCCAATGCCCCACCTCTGAGTGCCTGAGACCTTGGGGGGACATCTAATTGTAAACCATAGCACTAACATAATAAAATAACCTAAATAACTTAAATTTCTAAAAATAAGAGAATGATCAAATGAATTATTTTTCTAGATAATATATTAGAAGACTATTAAAAGGACTTTTTGAAATATACTTACAGTAATTTGGGGGTGTGCCTATGTTGTAATATTACATAGAGTGAGGGAGAGGGAGAGAATTATACCAGTTGCATCCTACTATGCAGCTATTCTCTCTCTCTCTTTTTTTTTTTTTTTTTTTTTTTTTGCCTTTTTCTTTTTTATCAGTACCGGAGATCGAACTCACGACTGCCTCCTTGCAAGGCAGGCACTTATGCCACTGAGCTAAATCCCCAGCCCGCAGCTATTCTCTTAACATATACTCTCTTAAGACATATTCTTGATTAAAGATCGCAAAGCCTCCTATTAAAATTTTAGCAAACAGTTTTATTCTTACTAATGTGCACTTTCTGGCTAAAACTGGTTAATATTTCTCATAGCCCTGACTATAACATTTTTCCTCTAGTTTGTGAATTTATTTCCCTGGAGGAAAAATATCACTAAGACAATCAAATCAAATCAAGCTACAATGTGAACAATTGTGCTTCACCACACAGCAAAAAAAAAAGCATATAAAACTAGGGGCTATCCTTAGGAAATCTAAGATGTAAGTACTGTTGGGTCATAGCTCACTTCACTTCTTTCTTCATTTCATACTTATCGAGTATTTGTGGATCAGGGTGGGTGGAACATTATCCCTAATCTCAGCAAGCCAGTGGGCTGGCATCAAAGCTCAACACAGGGGTGAACTGACAAATGGAAAAGTGTATGGGAAGAGTTGTGGTGGGAGTGAGTCCAGGTCACTGTGGCAGCCCCAGGCAGGGGTTCCCAGCCTACATGTGGAGACATGACTGTGCTCTTCCCTACCTAGCTTAGCGGCAGGTTGCAGCAGACCTTGTGGTTTCTACTCCTTCTTTTGATTCTCCATAATGGCCTTTGGCCAGAGGCAATGCAAACTGCTCCCCTGGCTTTCTGCACCATGCCTCCTAACTCTGCTAACTCACTGTTTACTTTTCTAGAGGAGCAGAGGAAACCAAGGTTTTCACCAGACTCTGAAAGCTGTGTGCTTGAAAAATGGCATCTATGCCTCTAGGACTCTGGCCAGAATCAACTTGAACGAAGCCATTGCCCAGCCCATTTACGACCAGATTGACCCTGTCTTTGGAGCCATTTTTAGGTAAAGAAGATCTTGCATGGTGAACAAACGTTTGAAGAACGCCAAGCCAGGGGATCAGTTTTAAGATTTACACTTTGGATCTGGGAGTGTAAAGAGTAGCTTGTAACTCAAGGAGGAAAGCTTAGTCTTGGCAAAACACAAAAGCCTTCTCGGTTTGCTTTAAAAATGTCCCGTGGTGATTTGGCGTATAGAATGAGGTACTGCCTTGGACTAACGTTATGATTGCTATTATTTTTCAAATATCTCCTATGTGCAGCAGGGGATAAATGTTCTTAGGGACCTGAGCCCGGGACAGGGTATTTTGATTGGAGAGCATGGAGTTAAGCACACACGTGGCCTTTGGAACCTTCTCTGAATGCAAACAGAAGTGGCTCGCTGAGGCTGACCACTCCGAGCTGGGGATGGGGTGTCTACTTGATGCCCCCATTCCTGAGCTCTAGCTCCTTCCTCCACATATAGACAGAGGTCCTCCTAATCCCCAAGCTCTTTGGTCTTGTCACCTGCACAGCCACCTGCTGCTGCTGAGCCCTTCCCCCACCTTGGTGTCTTTCTCCAAACCTCCTCCCCCACCTTCCCTTAAACTTATCTGGGACCACGACTTCCACCTTCATCCACCCCACCCTCCTGGACCAATCCGTGGCATAAACACCAAATTCCTTCTACGGGCAATCAACACATAGTACCTGCCTCCCCCTTCCCTTTCCCACTGTCACTGCCTTGTGCCCAGTGGTATCAGCCCTTTGCCGGAGCCTGCCTGGCTAGTGGGGCTGTCAGGGACACTGTGCTGAGCACCTGCATGTGTTTGTTTATTTTTTCAGTATGGGGCAGTGATGGTGAACCCATGGCACACGTGCCGCGGTGAGCACACAGAGCCCTCTCTGTCGGTCTGTGAGCTAAGTCGCCTCAACCTCGCCCCAGCAGCTGAGCATCAGGTTTAATTGCCACATTGGCGCTTTATGATTAATAAGTGGATTTGGGTTGCATTCAGGCACTCAGGCTCTGGAAGGTCCGCCATCATTGGGATAGGGTATTGAACCTAGAGTATTCTACCACTAAGCTACGTTCTCAGCACTTTGCATCCTTTTTATTGTTTTATTGTTTAGCATCTTGCTAAGTGGCCCAGGGGGACTCTAATTCACAGCCCTCTTGCCTCCTCAGTTACGCCTTGCCCCACCATGGCTGACTCACATATATTACCCTGTGGGATGTTCCCAGTCGCCATGAAGTGGCTCTGTCTTTTTAAGTATGAACAAATCAAGATCTGGAAGAATTGCCAGGGTCCTTCAGAGCAAAGATTTGAAGCTGGCCCTGTGCTCAGTGACCTGTATGTGTCCCTCCTAGGGTGCTGTGAAACTTGCTTCACTGTATTATCCCGCAGAGAATGACTCCCCTTTCTTTTCATTCCTCAAATCTTACTGTCTTTGTAGGTGCAGCTCTGGTCCCTCCCCAAAGTGGGGATACTTTGGGAGTGGAAAGACAGTGAGCTTTGTGGGGAGGGTGGCGTTGAGCCCTGGCTCTGCCTTTGGCCAGCTGTGTGGCCATGGACACATGTGTCATTCTCTTTGAACCTCAAATTTTTTCATCTGTAAAATGGGCATTATCACACTGTGTGGGTGTGGCCCAGCACAGGAATTGGATCACTGTTAGGTTCCAGTACTCTGCTCTTTAAAATGCATGAAAGAACACCAGCACAACGCCTGTCTCAGCGCCACAATAGCCACTTTTGCCTCCTCCCCTTTCATATTGCTTTTCCTGTAGGACTGAGAACACCCTGAGCTTGGCCCTGATGCCTCACATAGAAGCTTTCAAGCAGTCCCTGCAGGAGAAAATGACAGAAATAGGGATGAGAAACGGTTGGAAATACGATGGTTACAGAAAATCCTTCATAATCCAGGAGGTAGGTTCCTACTGTAAAGAGGTTGGGGAAGTTGAGAAGCCAGGGCTCCCCAGGCAGGATTGAAGGTCGCCTGGCTCTCCGCACATGCACCCCTGGGGAGTCCAGGGTCTTGATGCTCCTCGGAGGAGGCCACAGGAATGTAGGACATGGAGAGGGCTTTATTTCACAGTGAAGAATGGAGGTGTACACAAGGTGAGAAGTTCACTCAGTTCCCAGGAAGAACCCTTCGGTGAATCCTGACCAACCTGCACCATTGCCATCAGCCTCTCTATGATTTTTGCTGTGTGATGAAGTAGAATTCAAAGCCACCGAGCTTAAGGAAGTCAGGCATTATTTTTGCAAATTACTTGTTAGTTTTGAATTACAAGCTAGAGGCCAGCCTGTGCGTTCAAGGTCAGCCCGAGTGGTGTAGTGAGACCCTGTCTCAAACAGCTGAAACAGAATGTATTCAGATTTACACAATTTGTTCCCCTCAAACAATTTGTATACCTACACTCCACAGACAAGAAGTCATAACTCATTCATTTCCCTTTGGCCTTTTTAAATCTAGGATTGTCCCCTCCCATCTCCTCTTGTTTGCTTTTCACTTTGATGCTGACTTTTATCACTTTCTCCCAGGGTCACTCCAGAATTACTGGCAATACTAGGGCTATGGCTGACACCACTCAGGTCTCCCAAAGAGAGCCTGTTCCGGGTGCCTGGTGCTGCCGGTGCCGGGTTTAACTGTGTGCATGTTTAGTGTGCTGAGGGCAGGCACTATGGAGTTTGTTGAGACAGGGCCTTGATATGTTGCTCAGGTGGCCTTGAACTCACTAGGTATCCCAGACTGGCCTCAAACTTGTGGTGATTCTCTTGCCTCAGCCTCCTGAATGCTGCAGGTATGTATCACCATGTCTGGCATGAAGATGCTTAAGTCAGAGCTCTTGCCTACGAGGGGCTCACAGCTGAGCTGAGAGTTGAGGTGACTTTCAGACAGACAGCTATGCAAGAGGTGGGGGCAGCTGCACACAGGCACACGTGACCTCTCCCCTCCCGTTCAAGGAACTGTCACAAATGGTTTGTGTTAATGTGACTCCTCAGATAAGTGCCATCCTAGGAGGCTTGGAAGGCTATATCCTCAGAAAGAAGAGGAAGATCTACGAGTCTGTCACTAGCTCTGTCCAAAATGACCTGAAGCCCTGCTATGAAGGTGAGGCCAGGGGCAGTGCCTCCTTCTCCTCTGGGGTCTTCCTGTTGCTCCTCTGGCATTCTTCCCTGCTGCTCCTCCTCCATGGGTCTGTCCTCTGGTGTCCTAAATCCTTGAGACATGCTCAGCCTAGACACTGAGTCAGATAACTGCAGGGCACGGCAAGTGTTTCAGTTACTTTCTCAATGCGGGGAACAAAATACCCAATACCCACGAGTTAAAGGAGGAAAGGTTTATTTAGCTCACAGTTTGTAGAGGTTTCAGTCCAAAGACAGCTGGCTCTAAGGCAGGGCGGCAGCACAAAAGAGGAAGAGCTTGTGGCAGGCAGCTAAGCGGCAGCAGAGCTTGAGGGAGTAGGAAGGATAGGCATCCTCCAAGCCTCCCACAGGGAGCCGATGATTCTGGTCAGGCTTCTCCTTCCAAGGTCACGCTCAGCTAATCCAGCAGCAGACTAATCCGGTGCCAGATGCCCATGATCCAGTCACTCTGCCTGTGAGCACATGTGGCGTTGAGGGGTCATCTAGATATGTCATAGAAACCTGTTGTGTGTGTTGGGGTTGGGGGAGTCCTTGGAGGTCAAACCTAGCCAGGGCCTTCACATTGTCCCCGGTCCTTTTTTATTTCATGTTTTGAGACAGATTCTTGTTAAATTACTAAGTTGCCCACTCTGGACTCTAACCTGCCTCAGCTTCCCCAAGTGCTGGGATTACAGATGTGCACCACCATGCCTGGTTGAGAGGTCCTATTTATCTCTGCTTCCCAGCTGTGCTGTCCAGCCCTTGTCTGGACACCTGCCTCTCCTCTCTCTGCCGTGTCTCAACACCTGGCTCTCTGTTTTGGTTTCATTTTGGGATGATTTTGTTAACTTTTGCTCGATTCATTCCTGATGTTCTCTGAATGATGGTTGTCAAATTATTGATTGTCATTTGTGTGTGTGCATGCGTGTGTGTCCATGTGGATATGTATTTTTGCTTGCTTGCTTTTCTTTATGATGTCACCGATCTTTAAACAAGTCTTCCTGCAATGTGACTGTGTCCATCACCTTTGCCAGAGGCAGCTCAGATCACTGGCAAGAAGGCGTGCGAGAGGATGAAGGACATCATCAGAAGAGGGGTGGAGCGGCAGGTGGCCGAGGGAATGTTCGAGAGGGCGCAGGAAAGGATGCAGCACCAGTTTCAGCTCCTGAAGGTATTTGCCATCCACAGTCAGGGTCTGGGTCCTAGGGATGCTCCTAGGGGACTGCAGGGAGCAATGCACAAAGTGGCCCAGTGGCCAGAGGGCAGCTGGATGCCTTGCACCCAGGATGCGAGGGCTGGCCTCTGCCCCAGTGCTCAGTGCTTGGAGCTCTTTCCTCTTGGCCCCTGGAGTGTTGGCATCAGGTTTCCTCTCTTTCCTCCAAAGCTGGGGCTTTGGAACACAGCCCTCCACCTCTCTCCAGCTAGCTCGTCCCATGCCTTAGCTCATTTCACCCCAGGAGCCTGTGAGGTGAGGTACTGGTCTTGAACCCATGAGACACAGAGCCAGACGGTGGGACTGGAAACCTGGATACTGCATTGCTGACCATAGCATGATCTCCAGGCATATTTTTTTTAATGAAACAAATAACTCATCTACATGAAATATCAATAAATATACACACTGGAATACTACCCTGCTATAAAGAAGGATAAATTTGAGTCAAATGTAGGACAATGGATTACTTTGAGACCATGATGTGAAGTGACATAAACCAGGCACATAAGCTTAACTATCATACAGACTCTCTTACAGGAGAAATCCAGAGTATAAATAAATTACAGCATTTCAAAAGGACAGATAATAGGAAAAAGGGAGACAGCTCTTTTGTAAATAGGAAGGGCATAAAGAGAGATGGAAGGGAACTGCAGAGGATGAAAAAAGAACTCAGGTGTGTTATGTACCCTCCCGACCACGCAAAACTCCCAATTCTTCTCTCCTGGTGGAAGCTAAGCTGCCCGTCTCTCCAACCACCTGGGGCAGAACTGGCCAGGGTTCATGTTGGTCCATTGCTGCCCCAGCCTTCTGGAACAGTCTCACCTGCTTCTAACTGCCCCTCCCAATTTTACAAAGTGTTTGTCTTCCCAGAACAAAGCAGGAACCCTTCCTGTGGGTGGGCTAACAGCTCTCTCACTTCCTAGCACAGTTTAAGGTCAGTTGGTTAATAGATTATTACTGTCTACATGCAGGAAATGGCCAACCTCTACAGAGCAGACCACCCCTGAGTATGTAGAAGTCACATCCTACGTCACTCAAGGAAACAGTTTCTCTAAGAAGCCACTAGTGCACAAATGTGTCTTACCTCACAGAAATGTAGGTAGCTACAAAGGGGTCAGACCTAGTGTGATCTACTCTTCAAAATTAGAAAAAGAATTTCAGTGACTGTTTCATTGAATAAAACATTTGAGCTCTTAATAATGGGCAGAATTTCTTTTAATACATCTTTAATGTTTGAAGATTTACAATGTTTGAACAACGACCTCTTATTTAACGCTCTCGTGAAGTGAAGAATGGAATGACCTGCTGAAGGTCCCGATCGGTCTCTGATGTATTCCACGGCTGTGTGGCTCATTGATTTGCTCTCGCTGAGTTGCAGAACCATCATGAACCAGAGCTTTGGGAGCGATGGATCTCTGTCAAGGAAGTTGAGGCCTACAGAAGTTAAATCACCAGTGTGAGGCCACAACTCTTGACTTGGTGTTGAAGAAGAAGGATGAAAATTTGGAATCAGAAGATCTGGGTTTAGAACTGGAGTTACCAGGCCAGAGAGAGGAGTCTTATGTTTTCTAGTAAGAGGCAGGAGACAGCAGAGGGAAGAAAATGGTTTTAGTTGATGAGAGGATTCAAGTAACAAGAGAACACTTCTCAGGTGATTGGGAAGAAGAATCAGACTTCTCAATTGCAGCAGGTGCCCACCAGACGTCCCTTCAGTGCCCAGGTGCAGGGAAGACAGCTGGAGGGGACCAGAGCTGCTTTTTCTCCATCTCTCCAGCTCCTGTTTTTGCCCACATACCTCCAGGTGCCCCTCATTAGCTCCTTGTTCCCCAGGTCAGCCTCAGAGGGAAAGACCCCCACAAAAGTAGGAGCCCACAGAAAAGCTGCTCTGAGCACCCCTGGGCTATCCATGTGCTCCCAAGTGGACTGGACTTGGACTCTGGAAACTCCGATTCTCCATCTCCTCCAGCTGGAGGGTGGGGTGAGGTACCTTTTATGTGACTCACTTCCCCTGGGCTGTGCCGCCCTAACAGACTGAATGTCCTTGTCCCGTAGAATGGAATTACGGAGAAGGCAAAGGGCAGTATTGCCACCCTGCTGGCCCTCGCGTCATCCCAGGGAGATGGTCTCTATAAGGAGCTTGCAGGTAACCATGGGAGACTTGTATAAATGAGGGTGATGGTGCGGTCTACCGAGGGTGAGGCTGCTCCTTACTAAATACAAAGAAATCAAGATAGGAGGAATTTCCAAGGTAAGAAGTGGAGATGATGGTGGTGATAGTAACCCTTTGCTAAGCACCCAGCAGAGATCAATCATCATACTTTGACTTTATGATCTCATGGAATTCTCACATTAACCCTCAGAGACAAAGGCTATTACTCTATTTTACAGATGCAAAAATACTCAGACTGGGTAGTCAGAAAAGCTCAGGTTTTCCAGCTAGAAAGTGGCAAATTCCAATCCACAATTCTGGCCTGCTGTCTCTGTAAAGACTTTTTTTTTTAATGATGCCTCCTTCAGACAAACTCCATTTCTGGTGGTTGTGGGGAAAGTGTCTACAAACCCACGACACCCTGGGAAAGCCACACTGGTGCAGGTGCCCTGTGGTGGGCAGCCCCTCCCTTTCCTGCCAGGAGCTCCACCAGGTCACCCAGTGTGAGCCGGTGAGGAAAGCAGTGGGGGAGGGGCTACCCATCACTGGACACTGAGGAAGCCTGAAGAGCAGGTGGGCAGGATGGAGGAGGCAGCAAGCAGGAGGGCAGCCTTCCAGATGCCCAGCGAGACAGAATACCCTGGTTCCAACTCCCTTCCTGTCATAAGGGGACAGGAGGGGGGGTCCCAGTGTGAGCTCAGGGTGTGTTCTTCTGGGTCACTATTTAAGGCATGGTGAGCCCAGAGAGACTCGGGCTTTCAGAAGCATGGCTAGAGCCAACTCCACAGTCAGTCTGAAGTGTCCCTTCAAGGGACTGTAGTGATCTGGCTCTCCAGGGAAACAGACCCCACTGTGTGGGTGCAGATGTAGAAAGAGCCTGGTCTCAATGGGACTGCTCACCCCATTGTGGAAGCTCAATGTATCTCAGACCTAAGGGGTAGGGGAGCAGCCTGAAGACCCCAGAGAGGGCTGTATCCAGAGCCCAAGCATGGTCTCTGCAGAGAAGGAAGTGCCTGTGGTGTGGAGAAGGCTGAAACCCCTATCCCGGGGACTTCCCCTTCACTGGAGAGGGTCGGCCTTTGTCCTCTTCAGGCCATCAGCTGATGGGACAAGACCACCACACTAGGGAGACAATTGTTCTACTCCAGAGCTGATGTTTTGAAAGCAAATCTCACCCACTAAGGAACAGCCTAAGTTTTGACCACATATCTGGCTGGGTGCTGTGGTCAGAACAAGTTGACACATGAGATGCACCATGGTGAGGACATACTAGATTGCAGATCATGGGGTGACAATCTGACACACAGAAAAGAACAAGTTCCCTGGAGCAGGGCTGGAGGGGGAGAGGGAATGGAGAGGAGAGAGCCTGAGATGGCTCTGGGCAGAGCTGTGAGGTGCTGTGTCTCTTCCACCCAGCACAGGGTGACCCGTGCTGAGAGATGCCTGGGATGGAGGGAGAATAGCTGGTTTGATTCAGGGGTTTACAGAACAAGGACTCTCTGACCTCTCAGCAGCATCCCTCACTGGTCTTCTGGGACGAGTGACAGGTTCTTGTCCTGGAATCCTGGACAGTTCTGAGAATGACTGGGGCTCTCTCCACAGATGTCAGGAGTGAATACAAGGAGATGGAGAAGCTCCACAGGAGCCTGAGGGAGGTGGCTGAGAATGCCCAGCTGCGGAGGGGCATGCAGGATTTCCTGCTGAGGATGTCTCCCAGCAAAGCGGCCCCCCAAAACAGAACGTCAACAATTGAGACTTAGCCCAAAAGGGAGAACAAATAAGACTGCAGCCAAATAATCAGAATCTGTTTTTTGAAACCTAATAAAGGACATCTCCCAGCTGTCTGGGCTGTCTTTATATACAATATAAACCTTCTAGTTCATTGCTTCTGGCTCAGTTTTATTTTATAGACCTCACCCCCACCAAATCATCTTGAATCCCTAATGGAATTCTAGAGTTTTAAGGACAAGAGACTCATACTAAACACTAAAGAGACTTATATGTAAACACTAAAAAACCCAAACTATTGTGGAAAGCCATTGCAAAAGAAAGCTTTAAGGTCCCAGTTCTGTTTCCCATTTTAATAGTGATGAGACTTCTGGGGTGGAGGGAGACAACATTTTGCCAAGACAAAAGCACAAGTGTGGGAGTAGGATCAGACGTGGCTTTGCCACCTTTCGGCTGTGCTAACACCTGTGCTTCCCAGACACTTTGTCCTCAGGACCCTCGACCTCTGAGCCTGGGTTTGTGTGCTTGTGTGGGTTATCCACTGCAAATGTTAGGACCGAAGAACTCAGATGTCTCTGTGCTAGCTCGATGCAAAGGAACAAGAATAAACCTTTGACAATTTAACCTAAAGACAATTTTTTAAATGAAAAAAAGCTGTTTTCCAAAAACAATAATTGAGTGAGAAGAGTAACATCATTTTGCACTTTGGCACATTTCTTTATTCTCTGGCTTGATAGAAGGCAGCTGGATTCTTATTTCTGTGTCTATATCCACTCTGTTGTAGTGTATCTTTTTGGTTGATGTGTAAGAAGGAAATTGTATCATCCAGACATTCACTTGGAAGGCAGGCAACGATTTTTAACAGCCCCTGTTAGGTTACTGGGTATTCTTCTTTGGTACTACAATCTTGAAAATAGTTTCTTGAAGTTTAGTTGCATTGTGGAACCTGAAACTCTATCAGTGGATTTGTTTTCAAATCCCGTTACATTAAAGTCCATTGTGTTACCTTGCACTTGAGTGGATTTCTTTAAATCAAGGCATGATTTTATGGCATCTGGCATTGGTCATTTTAAAAATACTTGTTTTCCAAATTAAGCAGATATTTCAAGTATTGACATATTTCATCATACAGTACCAAAAATCTGTTTATTAGTATTTTTACCAATCTTATCAGGAACTTCTTGAAGTTCTACAACAATTGTCCATCAGCCTGATGGCAGGAAATACAAGTTTGAATACATTTCAGTTTTTCCCTAAAAGCTCATCTGATCATTGGCAGTAAATACTTTCAGTTGTTTTCTTTGAAGTGAAAGTTTCATTTTAAAAAAAACTCTGCCTGTAACCATGCAGTGAGCCATAATTTGTCAGCTGTTATTTCAAGTAAAAACGGTGCTTGTGGAAAAGGGTCGAGGTGGCTTGTAGCTGAGTCACACAGTGACTTGTGGTGGCAGAAATGCTTTAACTGCGTTTTCTAAGTCTGTTGCACAGACTAAGAAAATGGCATCTACATAAGAGTTGATAATTAGAATTAAGAAGTTATTTTGTTTATCAAGAAAACTTAAGTAGAAGCAAGCTTTTATTGTTAGATTGCAATTACATAAAGGAGAAAAATGCAATAGTAGCAAATAGAGTTTATTGTGATTACCTTTGCTGCTGTTAATGTTCAGATGATTTACCTCTTTGCTTTTGTACCTTTAGTGCAAGGTTCAGCATGGTTAAAACGTAACTCCTCCCCTGGCCTCAGTCATAGATTTTACTTCACATGTTATACAATATTATATGTAATCATATACCATGTTGTGTAATATTTCTTGAAGACGATGTGATAAGTTGAGGGTAGACCATACACCTGAGAGCAACCACTGAAAAAAGAGCTATATTTGGTGAGTCACTAAAGGGGAGGAAATAGAGCATTCAAATATTCAAATAATCCAAAAGTGACAAGGAAAATGCAGAAAAGGAACAAATATCATAAAGTACAGATTGCAAACAAATAGCCAAATGGTAATTTTGAACTTAATCAGATAAATAATCATATTAAGTGTAAATGGTTGAATTCACAGGCAGAGATTATCAGATTAAATTTTTAAAAGTATACTCCGACTATATATTGTCTATAAGAAATCTAATTTGCATGCACACATAAGGAGGTTACAAGCAACAGGACAAAAGTTACATATTTTTTTAATATTAAAGGCAGTATTTCTATATTAATATCAGAACAAGACAATGAACGTAATGATTATGCACTGCAAACATACTAATAAAAAGTGTTTTAAATTTTTAAAAGATGTGTTATTCACATGCACCAACTCCCCACAATGAATATAATCACTATGTACTGTAAACATGAACCAATAAAAATTTTTAAGAATGGTAACAAAATTCACCCTAAATATAAAATCAGACCAAGCAAATTTCAGAGCAAGGGATATTGTCAGGGATAAGAGGGTCATCACATAGTGATAAAACTAATTCATCAAGATGACTCACTAATTTATGCATCTAACAACATTTCAAAACACAAAAACCAAAAGCTGACAGGACTCAAGGGAGAAACAGCCAAACTCACAATAATAACTGGAAGTTTCAGCAGCCTGTCTTAACAATGGACAGAACAAGCAGAGAAATAGTAAGAACGTAGGAGGCTTGAATAGTATATGAACCAACTCACCCAATGGAGATTTAGGCAGCATTCTACTGGGCATCAGAGTACACACATTTCCTTTCTTTTTTTTAATGATACAGTTTTTATTGGTATGTTAAGCAGTACAAGTTATTCAAGCATTGCTTATTCCGTATCTTTTTCATTCAAACACTGAATGTCAAGATCATGCCTTACATTTCAGTAACCATCTGAGCAGCTAGAATTGCATTCATTCATTCATTCAGCAAACATTCATTGAGCACAGACTGTAAGCACACTCATTTCTAGTGGAGGAAACATTTGCCAAACCAGGCCATATCTGGAGTCATAAACTAAGTCTTAATACATTTTTTAAAAATACACATATAGAGCATGCTCTCTGATCACAATGGAATTAAATTAGAAATCAATAACAGGAAATCTCAAAAATCTCCCAATATTTTGACACTAAAGCTACATACTTCTAAGGAACCCGAAGGCCAGGTGAGGGCTCTGGGTCCTCTTGTTGGATTAATTTT